CATAAAGCCAACCAGCCATGCTATACTGAGGGCCAAGATGAACTCCCTGAGCATTTCCAGGGAGTAAGACATGTTCTCTGAACTATAAATGCCATTTCTCAGCCCATGCTGGATGGAGAGTGCTGGAGGGATAGTGGGAGGAGTCAGAGGGGAGAAATATTTACCCATGGAAGCCACCATTCTGAGGAATGCATGCCTTCTGAGATCAGACCACAAAACAACAACAAGACAACAATAACAATAGTTAAACATATAACGTTGTTGAACTACAGTGCATTTTTTAAAGGGAATTTTTTTTTATCATTCTAGGACTTCTTAACAAAGATTAAAATTTCTCTATACAGCTATCATGCCAGATTTACCATGCATTCTCTTATGTTCTAGTCAAGATGCACTATTAGCTGTTCCCTGAATGTAGTTCATCCCCAACCTTTGTGCATTTGTACAAGCCACCATAGAGAGTGAATGTATCCCTTCTACATTCTTCCACTAGGAACTCTTCCCATCCTTTGAGGTTCAGCTCAGATGCTCCCTCCTTCATGAAGTTTCTCCTGAAACTCTATGTTGTTAACACTTTTCCCCTCCTTAAATTAGCTCAATTTTATGTATCTTTAATTTATTGTGTAACTTGTATGTATTTTCTGTGAACTTCTAGCAGGACAGTGCAGACAGATATGGCTGGGTTGAATTCTTCATTGTCAGAGGGAATATTCATATCAATGAAATCACAAATCCATTGAAGAATTACTTATCTGTGTTCTTGTTGCAATCTTCTAAATGTAAGCTCTAGGGTCAAGGACTATTTGTTTTTGTCTTTGTTTCTCTATCACCTAACATAGCTCCTTGTGCATAGTAGGATTTTAATTTCTGTTGGTCCTTTGAAATGAATTTAATATTTCTTAAGATGTTGTCTAGCTGACAGAGAGGCGATGAACTCACATTGAAACAACTACTTTACTGTTGGTGAATTGTAAACTGCTCCAACCATTCTGGAGGACAATTGGAACTATGCCCAAAGGGCTATAAAGCTTTGCATACTCTTTGATCCAGCAATACCACTACTAGATCGTATCCCAGAGAGATCAAAGAAAAGAGGGAAGGATCTATATGTACAAAAACATTTATAGCAGTTCTTTTTGTGGTGGCAAAGAATTGGAAATTTAGGGGATGCCCATCAATTGGGGAATGGCTAAAAAACTTGTATATAGTTATGATGGAATTGTGCTATAAGAAATAATGGTCAGAATAGTTTCAGAAAAACCTGGGAAGACTTATATGAGCTGATATAAAGTGAGGTGAGCAAAAATAGAACATTGCACACAGTAACAACAATCTTGTAATGATAATGAACTGTGAAAGATTTAGCTATTCTGATCAATCATCCATGATGATTGCCAAGGACCTGTAATGAAAAATACTACCCACTTCCGGAGAGAAAACTGATGGGCCCTGAGTAGATTGAAGCATATTTTTTGACTTTCTTTTTTTTTTGCAACATGCCTAACATGAAAATATGTTTTGTATGATTTCATATGTATAATGAATATTGTATTTCTTATCTTCTCAATGGAAGGGGAGAGGTGGAGGGAAGGGGAGAATTTGGAACTGAAAATAATTTTTTTAAAAAAGAACTTTTGGGGAGAACATTGACAATGCAGGAATTAGTTTTGCTTGACTATGCTTATTTGTTACAAGTTTTTTCTTTTTCTTTCCTTTTTTTTTAATTGGGAAGGAAGTGGGAAAAAGAAAATAGATTTCTGTTAGTTGAAAAATTATAATTTTAAAAAAGATGTCGTAAAGTGTATTGCAATAAGATGAAATCCTAAGTACTATTCGCCTCTTCTGTGGAACCATGAAATAAGTTAGACAAAGGTGTTGAAGGTGAAGTTGAAGTTTTTATTAGGTAGTATCAATGAACAGAATGGGGAAAATGAGTGTGAGGGGAAAGCAGGCAGTGGCTTTATGATGTTATTTAGCGTTTAGGGTTAATCAGATTCTCTGGGCTAGCTTGAGAATCTAGCCACCTTTTACAAAAGTGTATTTCTGAGTTCCAAATGACTAAATTAAAACTTAATATTTGGACACATCTCGTCAGCTATGGGCTGCCTGTATATGAAAATATGAACTTAAAATCAAAAGGTGCAAGTCTATGTCAAGTCTTACCAAAAGTTTTTCTACTAATTGAGAAACCTAAAAACTAATTTGTGGAAATATAAATGACAGGGCAGCTAGGTAGCACAGTGCATAAAGTGTCTGACCTGAAGTCAGAAAGACTGTCTTGCCGAGTTCAAATCTGAACTCAGACACTTACCAGCTGTATCTAGTAAGTGACCCTGGGCAAGTCACTTAACCCTGTTTGCCTCAGTTTCCTCTTTTGTAAAATGAGCTAGAGAAGGAAATGGCAAATCACTCCAGTATCTTTGCCAAGAAAACCCCAAAATGGGGTCACAAAGAGTTGCACACAACTGAACAATGAACAACAACAAAACGGATACTGCTACAGTGAATAAACTGAGATTATTGAAGGTTTTGTAATCTCTGAGTTGAGATAGTAGAGAATAGAGACAGAATTTGAATTCAATTCATAAGGTGCTAAAAATTTGAAATATTAAAAGTTTTTTCTGCTTAGGCAATGAATTTCTTAGAGAATCTATTTTGAAGATTAATGAAGTCATTAAAAACTTGATCAAGATGTTCCCAAAATTGAGGGGTTCTCAGCCTTTTGGGTTGGTTAGCCTGGGGAAACGGAAGGGGAGATGTGGACTGGACAACCTGTCTTTCAGCATTTAAAGGACTGTCACATCAAGCCAGGATTAGACTTATTTTGCTGGGTCCTAGCAGGGGCGATGAGTAAAAATAATTTTCAGAGCTGTTCAAAAGTGGAATAGGCTAGACTGAGAGATGATGTGTGCTCCCCTCACTGGAAAACCTCTCAAGTGAAGGTGGGATGACCACTTATTGACAGGGTTGTAGGACAGATGAGGTTTGGTAACTTTCTGAGTTTAAATCCTGCCCTCAGCTGAATGGTATACCATTAAATTCTTTAATAACTTTATAGTTGAAACATCATAGAGTTTAATTCAATTTGGCAAATACTAAGTTCTATGTGCACAGTGTTTTGCTAGCTATTGGAGGTTCAGAAAGAAAACCCAAATAAAAAGTCTCCATTTTCTCTAAGTATTTCAGCTTTCTCCAACTTGGACCTTCTTCAGTGATGCAAAGTTCATTTCTAATAGAGAAACTAAAAAAAGACTTTTATAATTGGCTCTTAAGTCTAGTCTCCATTTTCTATAAAGAGAGAGGGTGTTTACTGTAGACATATATTTCTGTGGATTCAGGTCCTCTCAGCTAAATGGTATGTCATTAAATTCTTAAATAGCTTTATAGTTGAAACCTTATACAGTTTAATTCAGTTGGGCAAATACGTATTAGACTTGACTATCTGTATAATGTCACAGTATCTATCGGGATTCAAAGAGAAAACCCAAATGAAAGGCCATAGTTTTCTTCATATTTCAGTTTCATCTTTCTTTTCCTTTTTTTTTTTTTCTTTTGGAGGCAAGGGAGGTTAAGTGACTTGCCCAGGGTGATACAGCTAGTAAGTGTCCAAGGCTGGATTTGAACTCAGGTCTTTCTGACTCCAATGCCATTCATTTCAGTTTCATCTTGAAACTTACCTTCTTCAGTGATACAAAATTAATTGCTAAAAGAGCAACTAAAAAAAAAAGAAAGACTTTTACAATTGGCTCTTAAGTCTCGTCTCCCTTTTCTGTAAAGAGGAAGGGTATGTACAGGAGATATATGCTTGAGATGATAAGTGGTACTTTTGCATTAGAATTAGGGCTGCTATAGGTGACGCCATAGTGTATAGAGCCCTGGGCCTGGAGTCAGGAAGACCTGAGTTCGAATCCAGACTGAGATATCTACTTACTAACTGTGTGACCCTGGGCAAGTCACTTAACCTGTTTGCTTCAGTTTCCTCATCTGTAAAGTGAGCTGGAGAAGGAAATAGCAAACTACTCCAGGATCTTTGTCAAGAAAACCCCAATTGGGGTCAAGCAGAGTTGGACCCAACTGAAAAATGACTGAATAACAACAAAACGACAATAAGGCATTAGAAGTATTTAGCATATATGGTTGGAGAGACCAGACAGATTTATATGAAATTTTCAAGGTGTTTTATATTTCATTAGCTTATTTGAGCCTCACAATAATCCTGTCAGATGGATACAATAGGAATTCTTATCCTTCATTTAAAGATGAGAAGACAAAGGCTCATCATCACACAGTAAGTAAATTTCTGAGGTAGAATATGAACTCAGGTCCTCCTGACCGTAGGGCCCACTCTCTGTTCCACCACACTACTACTGTGAGATACTATCAGGGAAGTGAAGGACGAAGCTTGAACCGGTTCTCCATAGCCAAGACTGTTAAATTTTCAGGGTGTACACATATACCTCAGAAATCCACAAACTTATAAATAAATTGGGGTTTGGTTTATTCTTTTGTTGATTGTCTAGACTTAAGAAAGTGATGGAGACAAATTTTAAAAAGCAGATTAAACTTAAAGCTGTGCTATGCATCCTTTTTTTGTGTGGGGGGGTGGAGGGAGTCAGTTGTTAAATATTCACCAACATTTACTCCTGGATGCTGTGCCTAGGACAGAGTCCTTGTTTGGGACACAAAGAGAAGACCAAAACTAAGGAGGTGGTTGGGCCAGGTTGGCATTCTCTTAGTGCTGGCTTCCAAAGCTCTTAGATTACACACCCCGTTTATTGCATTATTATTTTAACAGAGCCTTTTAAAGGGCATTTTAATGGCCTCCTTGTTTAGGCAGATATACATTGAGAGGCATTTGGAATACCTCCCAGTTGCTACATTTTTGATCTGCACGTTTCTTAGAATTCTGACAACCTACCAGGTAACAGTTACTATGATATTTTGCTGACACATTCCAGGGCTGGCAGTTGTTAGATTTGCCAGTGAGGTTTGTTGTCCAGATCCCATTGGCTGGAGATTTATTGCCTTTCCCTCTAACTCATCTTGCACTTGCTGTTCCTTGTGTTATAACATATACCATAGATGTGTTTTTTTGGATTTGCGATGGAGAGCCATGATGTAAGTCAAAAGTTCTCAGTCCCTTATGTTAAGGCTGGTAAGAGGCAAAAAACATGACCACACACATACATACACATATGTCCTTGTTTGATCAATTCATGCTTTAAAAAACCATTATTTAAAGTAATAAGGGATACGTAATTTAAAGTAAAAGTAAAGACAAGTTATTTAAAGTAATAAGAGACTTCAAAGGTCCTTTGTCAACTAAATAGAAATCTGTCTATGACATGGAAAACAGTTATCTCTAAGGCCCATGGCAAAGCTTTTTTTTTTTTTCTTGGAGACCAGTTTTCCCTGTCTCACACAGGCTGGAATCACCATGGTCATTGACAGGCTGATCCCAATACTGTTAGGTGTAGAAACTTTAACTCACTCCATTTTTCTGATGTAGGCTGGTTTGCCCTTCATTTGGTAGCATGATGCCTTTCCACTCCCAGAGGCTCACCATATTGGTGCTAGACTTAGTTTTAGACACTTGACCAACTTTAGGCCTGCTGCGGTCTAGAACTCCAGGATTCAAGTAATCAACCAGCTTCATTCTCAGCCTCCACTAGTAGCAGGGATTATAAATGTTTTTTCCCACCCCTGGACAAAATTCATTTTGTCAAAGGTTTTTTGTTGCTGTTTACTTGATTAGTCATGTCTGACTCTTCCTGACTCCATCTGAGGTTTTCTTGGAAGAGAGACTGGTGTGGTTTGCCATTTCTTTCTCCAGCCCATTTTACAGATGAGGAAACTGAGGCAAACAGGATTAAGTGACTTGCCCAGAGTCACACAGCTAGTGTCTGAGGCCACATTTGAACTCAAGTTTTCCTGACTCCAGGGTTAGCATTGTGCCACGTAGCAGCCCAGCTAATATTCTGTCTAAAATAGAAAAGGTTTCCTCAGCCATTCTGGATGTTCTAATCTTCCCAACGTCGTTGCCCAGTAATCCTCGTCTTTCCTTGTAAGATTAATAGAGCATGAAGATTAACTTTGCCTACAATCATTCAGGAATCAGATCCTGGTCACATAAGAATAGCTATGGAGAAAAAGTAGCCTGGGGAGTGCATGAACCATGGTCCAGGGACATCAGGTTCAAGCAAAGCAGATCAGGTTCCGGTCCTAAAGGGATCCTGGCTTCTAAAAGACAGTATTAGATTTTTTTTTCAATCTCTGGCCCATTATGCCCCCAACCTAGAATCCAAGGGAAAATCTCTAAATAAAAAATTAGATTTGTCTCATATCTAGGATCTTCTCAAGAGAGATCAATAGGACCCCTTCTAGAAAAGTCACTAGATGTATAAGGCTGTAAGTATCACGTTTCAAGCAGCTACTTATTTTCTTCACTGCAAAAAAAAAAATACTTAAAAACAAGACTCACAAGCATGTATTGACAAATATTTAATGCATGAAATAACAATTGATCACTCCTATTCTATTCTCCTGGTAGGTAAAGAGACTCCGGAGCCTTATGAGGCTGCTGAGAGATTCCACTCAGTCTATACTGCATAAGAAGAACAATCTTCTGGCCAGCCAGGCACATATGACTCATTTTCTTAGTGCTGGTCATCTTCTCCTCTGAGGAGGGTGTAGCTTCAAAGAATACCTCTTTTTGGCAACCATCACTTAATTCTGGAATTCGCAAACTCTCAGACTAATGAGGTAGCTGCCAAGACTGGAAATATTCATCTCAGGATCTCTGTCCATCCCTCACTTGTGCTCAAAGAAAGAAGCACAAAGCAGAAGTGGTTGGTAGTGATCTACTTGAGATCCAGTCTCAGGATTATTTAGACCAGGACATGTACCCATTGCTACATGTATGTAACTTTCCCAGCTGCTGCTAGGGAGGAGTAGCAAAGTTGGGAAAACTTAGGGGTGTCCAGAATAAATAGAGGAGTTTTTCCCAGTCCTTTTCCATTCTAGAGAGGATAGAGAGTCTGACTGGCAGCCGGTGGGATGTTTTGCTAAAATGAACTTTGAAGTGGGCTTTACAGATAAATGAATTTTCCATGATGTGGACAAAGTCCCCTTTACTGGGAAGCCCATGGGAAGACCATCAGAGTCTCAAGCAACATGTTTAAAGGAAGGGTTGGGGCAGAGAGAGGAAAGTGAAACCTTTGGTCCCTCCTTCTAAGCACACTGAGTGGGCAGCTCTTCTTTGGTCATTTGCCAATGTCCTAGGCTATAGTGCTGCCCCAGTTGATCCCCTATTCTGGGAACCAAACAACCAGTCAGGAGCCATAGTCATACACATCTTTTAGAAAGAGGCCAGAGCACAAGTCCACCAGAAGTGGCCCAAGTAGATGCCCATCCTCTTTTGCTCCTGTTACATGAGAACCTTCACTCATCAAATACTTCTTTCTGGATCCTCTCTCCTCTTTGGTTGCTAATAGTATTCTCTCTTGGTTCTCCTCTGATTTGCCTGACTGGTTCTTCACTCCTTTGTTGAATTATCATGTCTGTCCTGTCACCTAACCAGAGATCTCCCCTAAGACTCTGTTCTGTGCCCTCTTCTTTCTTTTCACCCTCTCGGTGATCTCACTAACTACAGAGGGTTCAATGACCATCTCTATGTAGATGACTCTCAAAACTAAATATTCAGCCCTAATCTCATTCCTGAATTCTATTCTAACATCACCATCTGCTCTCTGGTCATCTCCAACCTGGATGACCCATATACATCTCATATTTCGTATATATTTCCTCTTAAACTCACCTCTCCTCCAAATTTGCGTAATTGTGTTGAGGCCACCAGAACGCTTTCACTTACTCAGGATTTAAACTTCAAGGTCATCCTGGACTCTGCCCTCACTACTCAGCCTATATCCAAATAACTGTCAAATTTAGTCAATTCTGCCTCTACAATATCTGTCACATCTCTCCTCTTCTGTCGACCAACAGAGCCACTGGAATATTCAGGTCCTCTGTGCTTCTTGGCTGGGATATTGCAAAGATTTCTAATGGAGATCTCTGCTTCTAATCTCTTGCTTTTCTAAACCATGCTCCACAACCTGCCACAAGTGTTCCTAAGGTGCAGGTGTGACTATTATTGTTCCACTGTTCAAAGACTTTCAGGGAGTTCCTCTCTATCATCCGTAGAATAAAATACAAACTCTTCATGCTAGCCTTTCACCATAAGTAAAAGCCATGGTGGGGAAAATTTGCCCCACAATGCTATGTAGGGTGGCAGTGATACGAATACCCCCTCCCCAAGGAATTCAGAGACTATCGTCTGTGGGCCTGTCAATATCCCGCCGGTATGAGACACTTAGCCCAAATCTGCTACTTTGCCTGCCTTTACTTTAAAGGCTATCACACCCTTGGCCCACCTTCCCTTCCATCTCCAAAGGAGGATAGAAGGATGGGCCACTCCATTTCCCAGACTAAGTACGCCCACACTCAAACTGTCCTTGGCACCACCATTCCCCTTCTTCACCTTATTGGATTGAACTCTGCACCAGTGGTAGCAAACTCAAATAGAAACAAGGAGGATATAAAGATCTCTACTGGTCACATATTAAGTTAGAAAATCACATGGTAATATTATCTATGTTCTATTGTATTTTTGTTTATTTTACTAAATATTTCCCAATTATATTTTAACCTGGTTTATTGTGTATTTATATTTGTTAAATGTCATTGAATAAGACCTTTCCACTAAACATAACTTAGGATTTAGATCAACGTCTAACCTTATGACAATAAATTCTAGGGATGTGATTCAGTTTTTTTCATTAGAAAGATTTAATATGAAATATGGATTCCCAAACACTGTACTAGTATCAATAAATTATTAAAGTAACCAATGTAAGTTTTCCATAAATGTTCTCTTGAAAAGGTATGGAAAGACACAGACAAGAATTTAAAAGGGTAAAAAATGTAACAGTAGCAACAGTCAAAGCAACTATTGTTCCCATTAATCATATTTACCTAACAATTAAAGGGGTTATGTTCTGCATGGTGGAAGGAATGCCAGCAATGACAGGATTATGAATCCATTTAAGATGTCTTGAAGTCGTATTCCTGGAAATTACCAATTATCTGTCAATCTTCATCTGGAAATTGTTACACAAACATTTTTGTTATAATTCAATTCACTCCAACGTACATTCAATAATTACTTGATACAGGCAGGGCCATAGGACTAAGAACTGGAAATTTAAAGGCGAAAACAAAAATGTCCCTGCCATCAAGGAGCATATGTTTTATTCGGTGATTGGCGTAATAATTTTTGCCACCAGCAATGTATTTCAGAATCAGGATTTTGCACTCAGGTCTTTCTGGCTCTAAGTTAAATTCTCCATCTTCCATACAACATTGCCTTTCTGAAAATGTTTTTGCCAGAAAGGCATTTGACCTGTGGGCAAAACTGCATTAGAAACCTGAACGAGTTATCAGTGCTGGGCAAAATCAAAAGCTGTAGTAAAAAAAAGAGGCTAACCAAAATTAGGATGGTAAAAGGCCCATTGTCAGTAGGACATTGGTGACTTGAAAGCACCATGCTTGTCAAGTCAATCAGCATTTAAGTGCCTACTATGTCCCAGGCATTGTGCTAAGCACTGGAGGGCAAATAATAATAGCAATAAATCATAATAAAAATAATACTAGCTAAAGATACAGTGCTTTAAGGTTTACAAAGCACTTTACACACATTATCCTATTTGAACTTCACAACCATCATGAGATAGGTTTTATTATTTTCCCCACATTATCTCCACATTCCCACATGAAGACGTCCCCCAGCAGAATGGGCAGATAAGAACGATTTGTTCCAATGGCCATGAAGTCAACTGAAGCAGGCACTATGGAGTACTAAAAGCTTGATCAGACATTGAAGACGCCAAGGTCATACACTGCATCCTGGGCCATTGTCTGTCATTCTGTCTTTTATTTTGCCACTGGACTTCAATGACTTAGGAAGACAGAGTGAGGCTGATGACTTTGCCCAACTCTGCCTCACTTAAATCCAATTCATGCATGAGTCAGGACATCATCTTGTGATGTCATTGGTGTTCTTTGAAAACAAAGGACAATCAATAGTCATTATCCCCATTCTACCAGAGAGGAAACTGAAGCTGAGAGAGTGTAACACAACTAGTAAGAGTCTGAGGCAGAATTTGAACTCAAGTTTTCCTACTCCAGGTCCAACATTCTAGCTACTGAGCCACCTATCTCCATGAAAAAAAAAATTACCCTGGAAGGCAAGACAAGAGAGCAATGGGGAGATCAAAACTAAAAGCTGCAGAAAGAAAGGCTGATCAAAATCAAGGTGAATCTCTGTTTCTTGACTTTCAACCCAGTGCAGTGATCTGGTTCCCAGAGAGTACATTTAAAAGGACTGTTCTCCAGCCAAACACATTGATATGGTCATCCCCAGTGATTGGAGTCACTTGGGAGACTCATAAGGACTTAGCAAAAAAGTTGTTGGCCAGTGAAAGTCAGATGCAATAAATAGTCCCTTACTTAGTATGTGTTAACTCACACAAGGGAAGACTTGAAACTTAAAGGGTTACCCAAGCCCGGAGTGGGAAGGGAGGCAGAAACAGGACAGAATACAACCAGAGTGTCCATGGAAGTCTTTGACCATGGCGGGAAAAGGAAGGAAGTTCACTAATGCCTCTACTTAAAGGTAATCTTAAGCTGGGTTGTCCTAACTTCTATCCTGTGGTTACAACTACTCAATGTAGAAGTTGACTGAGGCTGTCATTTCCTCAGTTTCTAGCACAGTAGATTTGGGGCATACACAATTCCAGAAACGCAATGATGTTCTAGGCAGGAGGGGTATGTTTAGAGCAAAGTTAGCCTGTAATAAAGTAGTCTAGGTCCAGCAAGCCAGAGAGGGGTTTGGGGCTATCACAATGTTTTTCTTTGCTTCGTAAAGTTTGCATTTTATGTCTCTCTTCTCTACCCAGAATAGCAATCTTCTGATTAGGAAGGACAGTAGAAATGGTTAATAGGACTACAACCCCAGGAAGAGAAGTATCCTGAGTCATAGAAATATTTCAAAGAATAAAACAATTATTTTAAGAATAAAAATACTTTGCATGTGTATAGTGCATTATATAATACCAGCATTTATAGAAGTTATATAATGTGCAATTTATCATTAATAAGTACTTTCATATACATTATCTAATTTAATCCTCTTAGTAGACCTGTAAGATAGGTAGGATAGGTCTTATTATTCTCCTTTATAGAGAGAGGGAAGTTTCTTATACAATGGTGTTTGTTCTTGCCTTCAGGTGCACAATAAAAATAATTTTATTAGTCCCTTCATTCACCTTTCCAAGAAGAGTCTGTAAACTGATCCTTCATTTATTTTTCCCATTTTTGGATACATTTTGTTATGATTCATCAATTACTTCCCAATAAACAACCTCCCCCCCACCCCAAACATTCCCATAAAAAATAGTTAAGCAAAACAAAACAGTGTAATAGAGTGATTGTGACTTATAACACATGTAATTTTCCATTCATAGCTTCTTGACCAAAAAAAAAAAGGAAGTGTGTTTTAACCTCAGTCAGCTGGAAGTAACATTGGTCATTATACTTGATTTGAATTCTGTTTTCCCTTAGTGTTTTCTTCATTTACATGATTATAGTAATTGTGTATGTTTTTCTTTTGGTTCTTCTTATTTCACTTTGTATCAATTCATATAAGTTTCTATATGGTTCTTATTTCTTCATAATCCTAATTTTTTATGGAACAATAATATTCCATTATGTTCATATATCACAAGTTGTTCAGCAACTCCCAAATCATTAGATACATAACTTGTTCTCATCATTTTGATATTATTAAAAGTGGTGCTATCACTATTTTGTTGCCTTTTTGTCACTCAGCTCTTCTTATTTTAGGTGAATTAATTTTGTTCTTGCAAAATAACCTTTAATTTTACCTAATTAAAATAATCTATTTTGTCTGGGATTTCCAAACCACAATTGTAAAGGCTATGACCTTTCATTATCCTCTAATGTTTTTATTACATGGGTTTTTTTGTACTTAGATGATTAATCTATTTGAATTTTTTCCACTGTATGGTATAAGATATTGGCCTAAACCTATATTCTACCATAATGCTTTCTAGTTTTCATAGTAGAACTTCCTAGTATTTCCTAGGAATAAAAAGTCTTTTACAGTAGTTTGTGTTTTTAGGTTAGCATTCAATTGCTTTGCCTTATCAAAATCATAATTGAAACATCTACATGTTTTGGAATCACCTGAAGCATAATAAATTTGCTTCCAACTCCTCATTTAACTTGATATGTCTTTATATTTTGTTTTTTTTAATTTAATTTATTTTTTTTCCAATTACATGTAAAAAACAATTTTAACATTCCCTTTTTTTCTTTCAAATTTTGAGTTCCAAATTCTTTCCCTCCTTCCCCTTCTGCTCCCCATTGAGAAGGTGAGCAATTTGACATAGGTTATACACAGGCATCTATGCAAGATACATTTTCATGTGTCATTCTACGAAAGAAAACACAGACAAAAAAAACCCCAAGAAAAACAAAGAAAGTAAAGAAAAAATATCTTTGATCTGCATACAGTCTCTACTAGTACTTTCCCTGAAGATGGACAGCACCTTTCATAAGTCCTACAGAATTGTTTTAGATCATTGTGTAACTGAGAATAACAAAGAAAAAAACCTGAATGCTGGGATAGTACCCTTCTAATACTGAAAGAACTAGAGCATTGGGTAGATCCTCATTGAATATGGACAAGAACATGGACATATGAATGTATATGAATCTAGACAGGGATATAAATATAAATAATAATAATAATGAATATGAATAATAATACTCATCCATATGAATATGAATGAGAGTTATATAAGATGAAGTGTGGATAGATTTTAAGCTGCACCAATGAAGAGGACATCTAAATAAAGGAACTCACAGATTCCTTGAGGTATTGAGGACAGATGAGGGAAACAAGTATAGAGAGGTGCCACAACTTGGACAGTTAGTAAATAATGGAGCCCTGACCCATGCCTTTATGTTACTTCTACTTTTTTACTTTAAATTGATTGTTCATTCTACTATAACAAACTTCCATAGTTATTAAAAAGAGTGGGGTCAATTTCTGATAAACCAAATGAACTGAAAAAGAATGAATGAACATATGCAAAATAATTACAAATGAGTAAAAGGAAAACAAATATAAATCACATTCTTACTGTTAAAAATTAAAATAGATTAATCGAGTAAAGAAGTATATATCATAAAATTTAGCATAGGCACTAATTTGCTTTCAATTTTGTTACTATTAAGAAAAAGAAGCAGCAAACAAGCCAACAGGAGTAGGCAACTTGAAAAAGTCCTTTACCTGCCCCGGTCCCCCAGTCTTCCTGCCAACCCCCTCCTTTCACTTCTCCCCTCCTGGCTAAGCGCTCACTCGCTATCTCTATCTTATGAGAGCAAATTTACAATCCCTATTGCACTCCAACCCTCAGACCCACTTCCCAATGGTGGTAGATTGGATCTCTCCAGTCCATTATCTCTCTCCTCTACTTTCTGGACAGAAACAGCTCTTCCCATTGCTTGTGTAAGTAGAGAGTAACAAACTATAATGCTTCCAGTTAGATGGAAGATTGCCAAGTCTTACTATCTGCCCTGACACTACACCCCTTGACATTGCCATCTGACCTATTAATGAATCTTAATGACTCCTGGGCCTTTCCCTCCACCCTGCCTCTGAACTCTTAGGACCACCAAGTCTTTTCATCTGCCCTGTAGCTATGTCCTTCTATGCACATTATCCTCTCCAACTAGAATGTGAGATCCTTGAGAGCAGGGACTATTTCAGTCTTCTATTTGCAGTCCTAGCTCTTAGAACAGTAAATGTCAGATAGTAAGAACTTAATAAATTTTTTTCCATTCATTCAGTAAGATACACTGTATATTGGGGGAAGCGCTTAAGCTACGATGTCAAGTAAGTCTGCCAACAGGTCCTGAAAACAGTGACTTCAGTTAGAAGTTAAAGAACAATCCTCCTGGGCACAATGTAGGTACTTTTATTGAGGTCCTCCTTTTTGTCTACATACACATAACAAACTCCATCTTCCTGATAAGATTTCAGTGTTAACTGTTTTTACAACTGATTGGGGATTACAAAAATATATTATTTGATCAGTCAAATGGTTACTTCTGTATTTGTAGCATGGAACCTCAGTGAATAGTTATTTTTCTTTAACTGAATGGCATCCTTTATATTCTGATAACATCCATTTAGTACCTATTGTGGCACATAGAGTAAGATGTTGATCTATACCTATATTCTGCCAAACCAAGTTTCCCAGCAGCTCTGATTGATAAAGAAGCCATTCCTCCAACAGTTTCCTTTCTTAAGAATATCAAATACTGTTTTCATTTGTTTCTTAGCCTCTTCTACCGATCTACTTTTCTTTTTTTATTAACCAGTAGCAAATTATTTTGATGACTCCTACTTTATATCATAATTTGAGATTTGATAATGCTAGAACACCTTCATTCTTAGTTTTCATGGCTTCTCTTAAAACTTTGATCTTTAGTTCCATTAAATGAAATTTTAAGGTAATTTTGCCTTTCCTATGCTTTCCTGTCCCCTCCTTGCTGTGGTTTTTTTTTTATTCCTTTACTCTATTTGGCTTCTTTCTTTCTATTTTTGAGATGATGGAGGAGAGCTGGCACAAACCCTGACTCCACCATCTTTCTGGAACAAAACCTTTTCCCTTCTGGTCCTCCCCGTGCATCCAAGTCAACAGCTTTCTCTTATCCAGACCACTAGGGCTGGGCAAATTCACAAGCTTCCATCCACTGAAGGGTGGGGCAGTCTGGCCACATCTCTGCCTAGGGTAGACTCTGAGACAGCATAGAAGATGCTGCAGAAGCCATGTAGTGCTCAGAACACACGACCCAAAGTGAGAAAAGTCAACCGAGAGCAAGGGATACACATGAGGGCTGTTTCCTGCTAATTTGGCCTTCCATGGTCATTTTTTCTCTGTAGCAACTACTTTGCAGAATGTTGTTTCTTTCCTCCTCTTTGTTATTGTCACATTTATTTTTATCTTTGGTACTTCTCTTGACATATTCAGGTGGTCATGGGGAAACTGAGCTTAGTTGTAACCTCTCACTCAGCAATATTTCCAAAAGTCCCCACCTCTGCCTTCTCAGACAGAATGCATCCAACTTTGTGTCATCACTGGAAATGTCAATTATTTTATAAATTATTGGTGTATAGGGCTAGTTACTCCTACACTAAATATCCCTAAATAACTCTGCTTTTCTAGTTGTGTTTGATTTTTAATTTTCTTCTGTTTGTGTCTGAGTATCACTTCTCATTACTATTAGCATGCTTGCCTCTAACATACTATTACCTTCCCTCATTCTGATTTGTTGCCTCTAATTTACTATGAGATGAGAAACCATATAAGTATGTTTGTCAGAAATGTGAATTAAAATGAGCAATTAGATTTTGAGGGAGGATCTAAAGCCTTCCTCTAAAGAATGAAGAAGCTTTATGAAAGCTATTTTAGCCACTTGAGGCTTTAAAAAAAATCATCATCATTATTTCCACAAAAATAGTGAAGTTTGCTGGGCCCCCCAGATAGACAGGGCATTACTGTATACACATCTCCAGTTGGCAAGGAAATTAAATGGCAAGAGACAAGGCAGAGCATCATGTTGAATATACATAATGTCAGAACCATTAAAGAGCTTTCCATTCCTTCATGCTGAAAGGAGATATTAGGGATTACCTCAGTCATGAAAATGAAGCAGCTGGAACATATGTCTCCTATAGAGAAATGCTATCTTCCCAGCTAGCCAGAAGCCCTTTCTGAAAGTGGTTCATTTCACCAATGAAGACAGGGCTTTCCTGGTCACTTCAGCACCACCTCAGGAACAGAACAGAGTCCTCATTCATCAGGGGCAAGATAGTGTTTTTCCTCTGCTGTGATAGATTCACATTGGCTAAGTGGGCCT